TATATATATTTGTTTTATCTTGCTCGCTCTTTTTTAATTTAATTTATTTATTAATCTACATAACATAAGTAAAGTCGATGTAAGAGCTAGTGAAACATTAACAAGTTGACTGCGGTTTAATAAACTTGAAACTTTTCATGATGCAAAAGTATCGTCATCCGCAGTTGAAATTTCAAAATCAATTCATAGGAGAACGATTAAGTTTTTAGCTTAGTTCGATGAGTAGGATACGACGATGCTAGGATTAAAAAGTTTGGCCTTGACATTCAAGACTGAGATCATTTTTCTCAACAATTCTTTCTTTCGAAACATTCGTGCATCGAGGGATTTACCATTCACATGACACTGTTGTCATGACACGATACGGATGTTGTAGAGCATTGACTAGCTCGACAGCGACAGATTCGCAAAAACACAGACTTGTAAATAGTAATAGTAACTTTACTACAGAGAAAAATAAACGAAAATGAGATGAAAGCGTGAACCAGTGGTAAGTGTTTTCGACTTTAGCTTCATTTATACTTCTTTATTGTCGTACATCATATGTAATGTGACCAACGAGTAAGTATACAGAATGCGAATACAGAAGACCGTGACGATCGGAAATGAAGAATGTGAGCACGCTACTACTCCGCTAAGCGCAATCGTTTATTTCGCTATACACAGTGACTACGAGTAGAAATGTACAACATGTGAAAAGTAATCCCGTCTACGGAATCAACTTTGTACGCATATACTTCGCTATATTCGCATCCGTCGTGAGTGTATACCGTATTCGAATCGTATCGGTAATGTTCGGTTACTAAAGCATGCGAAGGGCATGTTCCTCGTTTGGATAGAGAGCGTCATAGAATCAGATAAATTGACAGTGAGCAAGTATGGGACGATATTACACTTCAGCCCTGTTGAGTGTCCAGAGCGTAAATTGGCCGATCGCTATGATTCGTCTTGATATGCGAGTACACGTGCGACCTGTGTTTGCCAGTGTACATGCAGTGCGGACATTGGAAGCGTGGTGCCTTACCACATTCGTATTTCAAATGTCTGTGGAGTCCTCGATACCATTTGTACGTCTTCTGACACTTGGGGCATTCAAAGCTACCTCGTGATGCGGAGTTCACTGTTGGAAGTATACCAGTCTCGTAGCATCTCCTTCTTCGATCCACGACGGTCAAGTAAGGCAATGTTGACAGGTTGAACATCACTGGAAATTATACGGTAGTTTTCTCGGTAAGTAATATTAACAGACAAACATTAGCTCGACGACACATATAAGGTAGTAATTTCAGGTTCTTCCTCCATA